CCCCCGCCACACCCCCCTACCAAAACGGGCATACACTGCCACATCCCCTCCAAAATAGATGTACACTGACACACCCCGAGAACTATAAGGGGAGACTATGACTCAGAATACAGCAGTGGGTGTTTTAACACCCAATTTAAAATAACCTGAGCATTCAAGCCATGAGTAATAATGTTATAATGTTCTTGAGATAATTATGTGTTTAATCTTTATATTCTTAAAAAGGAAGGCCAAAGACAGATTTTTCTGTGTGGAAAGTTTATTTGGGCTACTTTAATACCTATTCTGGAAAATAATTCATCACAAAGAGAAATGAAATCCATGCCTCACCAAGAATGAAAACAGAACTAAGCAGCACAGAGAAATAACTTAATTGCAAAATGAAGATAAGTGCATAGCATTTGGCAGAACATTATTTTGGTTTTCTTTACGGAAATTCATCAACAGTCCTAGAGTTTTCAGCAGTAATAAGATGCATAAAGAAAATGACATGCTTATTCACAGAAATATTTTGATGCAAATATCCACAACATTTGCAAAGCCTGTCTCTAACCCACTCCAGAGCTAAATTTCATACCCTGCAAGCATAATAAAAGACAAGTACATCTTAATAACAAAGACATCATAGTCTCTGGGTAGAACAGCTCTCTAGTTTCCAATCATCAATACGTTTCATTACCTATTACAATTACCCTTCACTGCCTTTGTTCTTCCAGAAAGCTGACGGAATCGGCCAGCTTATATCTATAAAGATCTTCTGTCTGGGGTTCCCCAGCAATGCCCAGGGCGTCTCCCACGCACCCCACAGAGGTCCCGCTCACAGCTGCCTGTGCGCAGCCTTTAGCCACATGCCCTGTGCCTGTAGGGAGGGAGAGGATTCCAAGTGAGGCCTGGGGCACCAGGGACCAAAATCAGCTAGCTACACCTCCCAGATCTCCCAACAAGCCCTGAGGCGGCACAGAACCTCAGGGCTACCAGCAGGCCATGCTCTAGAAGACCAGAACGAGACTCTGCCGCCAGGTCTCTCAGGACCACGCAAAGCCACATCGTGCTGAAGTGATGGCACCAGTGCTACTCTCCTCAGCTCATCTGGCCCCACGCGGGACACCCTACTGTGACAGTAAGCGCCCCTCCGGTCTCAGAGGTGCAGAGGATGGGGGGTGGGCAAAGTCTGCTCACCTGGGCAGGGCTAGGGCTGCAGCAGGGAGACTCCAGACACCTCGCTGTGCACCCAAGAGCCTGGACAGCCCCTTTCTGGGCAGCAACGACAGGACACCTCAGATAACGCGTTTAGCTTGCCCGAGCCCCTGATCCATGCGGTGCTCTCCTTCACGCTACGCAATGACTCGTGGGGGTCGGGAGGCAAGAAGGGGACGGCGACACGGGGTTTGGAGTGCTCGCAGAAATGTGGCCCCACGCTGGGCTCCAGCCACCATCTTCCCTCTGGACCCGAGGCTGGCGGGCCTGACAGCCCACACCCCACTTTAAAACCCGACCGACCCCAGGGTGTCCACAGCAGGGCTGCCGGCAACTTCAGTGCCAGGTTGGGGTCCAGGGCCCACGTGTCGGTGAGCCTCCACAGGCTCCGAGCCACCTGCGGAGGACGGCCTTTGCCCAACTCTGACGCAGCAGCCCGGAAGTGAAAGCGGGGTGGGGGGTCGGGCAGGCACCCCTCTGCCACCGTCCTAGGGCTGGTGACGCCTGCGCTGCCGCCGCCGCCGCACAGCGCCCGCCAGGGCCTCCAGCAGCTGTGCCCGGCTGTTGCAGATGTTGTAGTGTGTCAGGCGGAGCAGCTTGTCCACGTCCTCCTGGCTGTAGGTGACCTTCGAGTAGTGGTAAGGGGAGCCGGATGGAGACAGGTCCACGTCCCCAGCGGCCTTCTCCTCAGGTGTCCGCCGAACCCCTGTAGGCAGAGGACAGTCGGCACGGCACGGAAGGTGACCCCGGGCCCAGCCCTGCGGATGCTCGGGTGGATGCTCGGAGGCGGCAGCCAGCGGGTCGGCGAGGTCGGGGGGTGGGGGGGGCTCACCCGGGGCCGAGTGCTCCTGGAAGGAGTCGTTGACCAGAGGGAAGTGCAGCACGGCCGGGGCCTGGGGCTGCTGGGGGTCCGCGAACAAGCGGCACTCCGCGGGCCGGAGCTCCTCCTCCACGCTGGGCGAGACGGGCGGGAACGGGATCCCCTGCTCCTGGCAGAAGCGGCCCAGGAGCTGCAGCTGCTGCAGGGCACAGACAGGCAGCAGAGGAATGAGCCCCCCGACTCCCAGGGGCCCCGACGCCAGGCAGACTGAACGTGGAGGTCCACCCAATCAGCGCCCCAATCAGCCTGCACCACGGGACGGGGCCAGGCCAGGCCAGACCGGAGAGCGCGCAGAACCCGCCACTCCTCTGTGCAGCTCCTGCAACTGAAGTCAGAAACCTTCACGGGAGCAACCCCGACTGCTCCCCAAGCACAGTGGGCCCCTCCCCTGCGCGCCCCCAGGCCTGACCGCGAGGCCAGGCTTCCATTCACGCGGCGTCCGGCCACGGCCTCTAGGTGCTCAACCACCTCCCCGGGCGCCACACGCAAGGCCAGGCCCGGCTGTCCCCCGCCTCCCACGCCTGCTCCAACAGCCAGGCCGCTGTCCAGCCCACCTGGAAGGCTCCGTGGAGGTTGTAATCGAGCGACAGGATGAGGTCCACATCCCGCGTAGGCCGCAGGAGGGGCGGGCAGCTGGTGTTGATGAGGTAGCCCACATCCAGCAGGCAGAGGCAGGGCTCCGCGGGCGTCAGCTGGTTGGGGAGCCCGTCCAGCTTGGTGGCTGGGAAGGAGAGGGGGGAGGGAGGCAGCGACCCGCTCAACGGTGCTGAGGACACCAGCCCCCCGGCCCTGCTCTCTGGCATCAGCAGCACATAGATGAGCAGACTGAAGTGGGCACGCGGAGGGGCGGGGTCCCCCGACCCAACTCAGCGCACCCGGGGCTGTGGAGGTATCCGAGCCAGGGACCACGGGGAGACGCTAGAGAGCTGGGCGTAGGGGAGAAAAGCAGGTACCTTTCCAGGCAGAGAAATGAGGGTGCTCAAAATAGTTCTTGTGGAAATGGAGGCCACGCAGGAAATTGTGGGTGGCCTGGGCAAGTGGGCGCCGCGTCAGAAGGTCAGTAAAATACTCAGCTATCCTGCCGGCCAAAGTGGGAGGCTCTTGTATCTTCAGAAGAGCGACCTGCTCCTTGTCTGCACAGGAGGAAGGGGTCTTTCAGGTAATGGAGACCCCTGGAACTACACCCCCCAGCCTCTGCTGACGGCCAACAACCTGACAGCCACCCCCACCGTGCACCCCGCCCCCCCAACGCCCGCCATATGCCCCTCTGCTCCTCACCCAGGGTGGCCTGACTGTGTACCCAGCGGTCCCAGAACTGGCAAGGTTCCGAGGCCCAGTACAAGCTGTCCTGGAGGTTGGCTGCGTACAGGTTGCTCCAGATACCTGAGCGACGGGACAGCCCCTGCCCAGTCACAACCTGACCCTTTCCATAGCCCACCCTGGACCAGCAAACAAGCCAGTGGCTGGGCGAGGAAGGCTCACGCTGCCCCCACCCAGCCGGGCTTCTCCAGCCCTCCTCACCTTCCAGAAAGCAGATGCGGGACTCCGGGAGCTGCTTCATCAGGCGCCCCATGAAGAACTCAGAGCCGAAGAGCTCGGAGGGGATGAAGGCCCCGTACTTGGGGAAACCAACCTCGTATGGGGAGAACTCGCACCACTCTGTCAGAAGGCCACACACTCTCATTTTGGGGCCTAGACCCAGGCCCTTGGGTCCCGACACGCCCACCTTGGGTTTCACTGCTGTGCAGCCTGGTGACCATGGGACTCAGGTCTTGGTGCTGGGGCCTCTGGCCACTGCTCCCATCCCACAGCTGAGTGACTGTGGCAGGATGAGAGGTCCCGCACGCCACGGGACCTGGCCCCGACACACGGGCACTGAGCACGAAAGCGCTGCTCTCCTGGCTACTCACCCCCAAACTCAAAGGTGGTTAGGCTCTGCCCCTTGGTGTTGAGGGCACAGTAGATGGGTAGAGGATTCTGGCCGCGACTCAAGGCCTCCCGCTGGTCTGAGAGTTTGTGGTCATGTGGCTGAGGGGGAAAGTGACTTAAACCTGGTGCCTGGGCCCTTTCTCACTCCGCTGCCCAGGGCTGCTCCTGGTCTCTGGACTTTGCCCCTGTTTTGGCTTCTCCCCAGGCCGAGGCCCTTCCCATACCTCATCATGTAGCAGCGCCTCATTGATGAGGGCCCACAGGTTAGTGAAGCAGGAAGGATGGCCCAGGCGGACACGTTCGGCCAGCTCCTGCCGGTACCGCTGCAGCTGGGTGGGTGCCAGCGCACCCAGCTTGCTCTTGGTCACCTGGGTCTTCAGCAACTCAATGGGTCCTGCTAGGTCCTTCTGAGACCACTCTGGGTCCTCGTAGAGACTGGCCATAGCCCTGGGAAAGCCAAACCCGGGGCGTGTGGGGGGGCGAGGGGGCTGGTGGTCACCGCTCAGTGTCATCACACACCTTGGATTTGTTTTAGGTCAGAGCTTGGGGGAGCCACCTGCTAGGGTATCCTTGAGCACACTGCTCCGGCCCAGTGCATTCTCCCAGTTCTTCCAATCTGGCCAATGAGGCCTATGGGGCCTAGGAGAGCCTTACACCAGCACCACTCCCCACAATCCTGTCAGCCACCCCCACACTCCTTCACTTAACCTGCCGCCAGCTCACCAAGTGGAGCCAGAGGCCCCTGTGATGTAGGAGATGCAATCTAGGAGGCCCAGCTCCTTCAGGCCCGCCAGCTGCCCGTAAAGGGATGTCATTGCCCGGATGCCACCACCAGTGGCCATAATGGCTATCACAGGGACCTGAAAGAGAGGACGGCAAGATTCGTGAGGCCTTGGGGAAGGGGATGCCCAAGTCGCTGTGAGCAGCGGCAGTAAGATGAGTGGCCACTCCAGTCACCCCTCAGCTAACGCTTGCCAAAACTGATGGGGATTCCCGGGGCCACTTCCAGTCAGGCCTGCAGAGGGTCTAATCAGAGTAGCCTCTGGAGTGTCAGGCTTCTGACTTTATGGACCAGACACATTCTAGGCCTCACCTCTAGCTCCCTAAGAGTCTAGTGATCCTCTGCTGGAAGCCCATCTTGAAAACCTCCCACATAGCCACCCTCCCCTCTTGTGAGGTTACTTCCCTAGGACAGAACCCAGGCTGGTCTGGACCTCCAGGACTACCCTGGACAGCAGCACTGATCAGTGAGACCAGACCCATCTCAAAAGTTGAACCAAGCAGAGGATCAATAGGCCCGGAGGGGCGCAGACCTGTCTCACCTGCTGCTCCCCTTGGCAGTGTATTTCAACATACCCACCTGTTCTGCTCCCCACCCTGTCTCTGAATTGTTTCAACCCTCCCGCCTCTGGCCTACTCCCAGTCTTCCCAGCAACATGGAAGTCATCCAGTCCAAAGGGATGATCTAAAAAAAAAAAACAAAACTGGAAGGAAAGCTAGTCCAGCGGGGCACTTCCATCCGCAAATCCCAGGTGCCTGTGGAAAGCTCTGCACTTGACGTGACCACCTGAGAGGGAAGCAGCGGCAGATACAAGCCCCGCTTGGCAACAGCCCTCATCTGGCGAGGGAACAACCGGTTCCAGCTACTGGGCTCTGGGCTCCAGAAGCCCGAGGACCCCACACAATCCTGCCCAGCCCGAACCTCATCCTCCTGCAGGTCTCCGTCCAGCTGCAGGGCCTGCTTCAGGGCCCGGGCCACCACCTGCTTCCTCCTGCTCAGGAAGGCCTGCTCCTCGGCGCAGGGCTCACAGCCTAACCGCACGGCCGGCTCCCTGGGGCTGAGCAGGAAAAGAGCGTGAGTTAGCCCTGGCCTTGTCAGAGAAAGGGAGCATGGTGGGCCTCCCACCAAGAATCAGCTGCCATCACCTTGCTCCTCTCCCCGCCCCCATCCTGCTCCAGCGACCTGGCTCTGAAGTGACTAATGTGGAGCGTGATGCGGAAAAGGCAAACTCAGACCCATGTGGGGCTGGAGCACCTGGTGAATGCAGCATGGTGGAATCACTGGCTAGGGGAATAAAGGGGCCTGCTGGGGCCCAGGGTGGGACTCTGCAGCCCACTCACCATCCTCGGCTTCTCCCCCTTACCCACCCAGACGTGATCTCAGAGGGGAGGGGAAACGACGTTCCCACTTCCACAGTGAGCTCGCCTCCCGGGCATGTGGAGGGCCGGAGTGAGCCCTCTCGTCTCCCAAGCTTAGCTAAGGTCCACTCACACAGGTGCTGTGCACAGGGGTGCGATTTCTCTCCCCTCTTGGCTTCCCTGCCCTCTCAACGAATGCCACTCTCATTTTCCATCTGTTTCCCAGTCAAACATTTATCAAGTATCCCCCAAGTGCCAGGCACTGAGCTACAAGCCCCCACACCCAAAGAAGAAATGCAAGTAAAAGGTGAATCTAGAGAGCCTTTTCCTGCTCAGATTCCTCCCTTCGTGTTCCACAGGGGCACAAACCCCTGAGCATCTAGGAGGCGCCTCCCTCGGGGCCAGGCAGTGCCCCGCCCCCACAGGTTAGTCCAGTGCCCAGTCGGGCACTCACCCTTCTTCTTTTTTCAGCTCCACCTGTATCAGGGGCTCCTGAAAACCATGAATGCTCTAGTCACAAAGTTTGGCCACCCTGTTCCTCCCAGCCTAGTCCAAGCCATACCCTATGATATCCTCACATTCGCTGAAGCCCTCCCCCCACCCCCCAGCCGTCTCCACAGGGGCCAGGCCTGAGGCATGACGACAATGCAGGGAAGCTCAGAGGACCCAGAGGCCAGAGGCTGGCCTTGCCTGGCACCTGTCCCAGCTGTAGTCAGAGCGAAGCTGCAACGGAAGCAGCTCACCCCTCATCCAAGCATCTGGCTTTCTTCTTCCAGGTGACCCATACCTGAGATGTAGGAAAGACGAACCTCACCAGTTGGCTGGAGGGCAGGGTACTCAGGGGCACCTTCAGTTGCTCTTGAGGGGCACCCTGCAGAGAGGGTGGAAGGGTTAAGACTTTCTACCCTTCTGTTCCTAGCAAGCATCCCACCGTCTGCCCCCGAGCGTGGCGGAAGCAATGGGAAGGAGGACAGGAGGCACACACTAATCCTTCCTCTTCCAGAGTGTGTGACTGCCAGGGAGTGATGGGGCTGGGTGGGGGTCTGCAGTGCCCAGAGGGACAGAGAGTGCTGAGGGAAGGACAGGCAGACGCCGCAGTCCCAGCTCACAAAAGGGACCAGCACTCTACCGACAGGTGGATGTTCAATTCCTGCTCCCAGCAGGCCGGGTAGTGGAAGTGGAAGGAGCCGGTGCCCACAGAGGTCTCCTGCAGACCCTCATACGACCCAGGAACCGCAAGCTGAACTCTGCCCTTTGACCCTGCAAACGGAACCCAAGCAGCGTGTTGGAAATGGGGTGTCAGTCCACACTGACCTGTGTATTGCCTAAGGGGCACCCATACCCCAAGGTGAAGGTCTGGTGGTAGAGGCGGGGAGATGTAGCCCCCACCACAGTCCCTGGGACCAGAGAGAAAACCCCACTGTGCATTTGCCCCCAGGCCACGCCTCTGTCTGAGAGAGCTGAGGGAAACCAATGTAAGGCCCGGACCACCCCAGGGGCGGGGGACTCACACTTCTGGTCCCCTGCCTCCTCCAGCCGAACATGCAAGCAGGACAGCTCCCGGGCCTGTTGGGAACACAGCCCTTCAGAGGCCAAGGCGGGCCCCGCCTCCTCGCACCCCACTCTTGCACGGCAGCGTTTTATCTTGGCCCTGAACCACCAAACATCAGCCCAAGGCTGTGTCCTCCTCTTGATGCACTGAAATCTCAGGGCCCCCCAAGTCAGCTCTACCCCAAACCCGTGAGGGCAAGCAGACAGCAGGAGGGACCCAGACTCACCACCAGGATGCCGTTACTGACGAGCCGCTCAGCACAGTCTGACCTGGAAAGAGCCCCAGGCCCTTAGGAGGATGCAGGCCCCGGGCCTCGGCCCCCAAGGAGACCCGCCGTCCTCCTCCACTGTTCCCAGGGAAGGGTGTGAGCTGTGGGTGCTCTGGCCTCTGTCCTTCCCAAGAGGAAGCACTCCCTCCCGGGCAGCACCCTGTGGCCCCAACTCACAGACTCCGCAGCCGAAATTCAACATCTAGTTGGCCCTCGCCCTGGAGAGAGAGGCAAGTCAGTGGGCGAGAGCAGAAGCAGGCGTGTGCACGCGCAGCACTGCCCCGCTGCCCCAGGAGCCGGCGGGGGGTACAGAGGAGGCCGGGGAGTGGGGTGGGAGCAGCCTCTGGCCCGGCCCCTCCAGGCTGCTCTGTTCACCTGCTGGGGCAGCCCCACAAAGGGGCAGCTCCTGGGTGCCAGCAGCTCCTAACAGAGGGCCCTGGGACTCCCGCTCACTGGCGGGGGGCCATGCGCCGGCCTCCCCCCAGGGCTGAGCCCCCGCTGCCCGGCCTGGCCTGCAGCCTTGCCTGAGCACTCAGCGAGAAGCTCTCACGCCGGGACTCTCCGGCCCGCAATGTCCCCACATCAAACAGGACTGACAACACCGGATCGTCTTTGGTCAAAAGGTCCTGATCAAAGACTTCGAGTTGCACCATGTTCTGGAAGGGGAGCAGAGTGAGGAAGGATTGAGACAGGGAACGGAGCGCTGGGAAGGGTCAGTGGCAGTGGCTGGGGGGCAATGGGGGACAGGGGCCCACCTTGAGCTGGCTGTGGATTTGGAAGTGAAAGCTCTGATTCCAGACGGGGTCTCTGCTGTTCTTCACGGTGCGGGTCTGGAGGATGTGGGTGGAGGCCGTGGGCAGCCAGAGGGTCACATAGCAATCAGAGGGCGTCACTGTGGGAAGGAGGCGAGTACCCAGTGCTGACCCAGCGCCCTTCCCAGTCCAGCCACCAGTCCAGATCTTTCCAGGAGGCCCAGCAGACCTGGAGACCGACCCATGGGAGGGGCCTGGGAGGGTTGCGCAGGAGCACAGGCTATGTATGTCCCAACCATGGAAGTCCACCCAGGCCCTCTTGGCACTCTCCCCAGGACCCCTGCAGACCTAGCCCTGCCCTGTCTCCCCCTGCCATGCCCAGTCTGAATCCAGCTGCAGAGTCGAATCGTTGCCCTCCCTAGCGCAGCACTCACCCAAGTCCTTGGAGGGCAGGCCATGGGCCTGCAGGACACGAATGGTGAGCAGGCAGGGCCCGGGCACCTGTGACTAGAAGCGGGAGGGGGGACAGCTTGTTAGTAGGCTGACAGGCCCAAAGGCCAAGGTGGCCAAGCCGGTGCCACGATGACCCCTCACGGCCTAAGCGAAATGGCCAGCTCTGCCTGGCCACGGGGCTGCCCTCCGCCCATCAGAGCCCTGACGTGAAAGGCAGTGAGGGCATTTTGTCAGGACACCTGCCAGTGCTGGAGGGACCCCAGGCCAGCTCAGGCGGTATGTCTTAGCTCGCTTGATCACCAACACCCTTCTGTGGGAGGACTACTCATTACGACCAGCCTCACGAGGAAGCAAGCAGAGGGCTTAGCAGTCACTTGCCTGAGGGCCAGGGCCAGGACTGGGCCAAACTAGCCTGACTCGTGTTCTCAAGCCCACACTTACCTGCTTCCAGTCCCGGTAGTGTCTTCTAGTCTCCCTACTCAGCACCCTGGCTCACACCCTTGAGACTAGCATTGAGGCTACTCACCCCAGTGACTGGGGATAGGCAGCTACAGAGGGGAAGGGGCCTGGCCTTGGGCCCTCCCATTGAGTTGTTCCCCATATCCTCCACCCTGGCCAGGAAAAAATTCTGGAAATGGGGTCTTTTAGGGTTGAGACAGCAGTCACCAGCTGGGACCACCACAGGTTGCCAAGATCGCCAGGTCCTACAAGTTCAAACCCATCCCCCTGACAAGGAGACTGTGCAAACCGATCCCTCCATCTGCCCTCCAGTTCTGCTTCAGGAAGGGTCCCCATGGATAGAGTCCAGGGAGCTCCCTGGGTCAAGGACAGAGCTGGGGATGCTCATCCACTGGTGTCAGCCCTGGGGCCCCCACACCCCAAACAACTGAGTCAGAGGAGTATCTGATCAGACGCTTCCTTTTACGGCCCTGGGACAAGAGCTAGGAGGCTAAATTCACCGATCCCAAATCCAAGTCCAGGGAACTTGGCCCAGAGCCCACTTCCAGGGCAGGAGAATCCAGGACAATCCTTCATCCCAAGACCCTTCTCCGGCCCCACTCCCACCCAGCTTCAAGGTTGGCCAACCCCATCCTCCACCTGGAGAAGCCTACAGCCCCCGTAAGAACCAATTTTGAGCAGGCCCCCAAAAGACGAAGGGTCAGAGTTGGGGTGCGGTGCCCTCCCGGGTCTTACCAGAGCCATGAGGCTGTATCCTCAGGAGCCAGGAGTGACAGGCACAGGACCAAGGGCTTCAGCCTTTTAACCTGGAGTCAGGGGTGTCCCAGCCGGCCCCAAGCTCCTCCCTGGTCCCTCCCAACCGCCTCCACGCTACCCAAGCCCCACACCCACTCCTGGACAGCCAGGAAATGAGACACCTTCAGCCTGCAGGGAGCCACTGACAAGCCAGTGGTAGGGTGCAACTGCCCTAAAGACCATTCTCTCCAGCTGTGCCTGCCCAGTCCCACCTTCCTTCTTGGCCCTAGAGGACAGGCCCCCATGAGAGTTCATCATGGTGGACAAGAAGGAAGGAGACTGGGGCCTGAAGGGCCACTGAGGTCGGGAGAGCAGGGAGAGGTCTCTGACCAGCAGCAAGTGAAGAGATACGGCCCCCTCCTTCAGCAGCCTCCTGGTGCCAGTAGGACAGGAATGCCCAGTTTCGTTGAAGGGTTTGGTTGACCTGAGGGAGTGCCCGGGGCCCCACCACAGCCCAGCAGGGTGTGGCTTGTTTTGAGAAACAGCCTTCAAAGCTACTGGGCTATGCCCATCCTTGGAGCTGGGTGCTGGGTGGCCAAGGATGGGGCCTCTGACAGGCACCAGGGAAGGGGGTTTCTCTACCTCTAGACATGGTTTGTGGGGGCAGAATGGAGTCTGAGTGAGGAAAACAAACTCCGTCCTCAGGGGAACAGCTTCAGGAGGGACAGGGGTTTCTGACCTTCAGAATACCAGAGCCCCCAGCTGCCTTGGAGCCAAAAGAGAATAAACACAGCCAGAAGCTGTAAGAGTCCTGAGCCAATGAGGCCGGTGCCAGAGTCACAAGGTCGACCTGCCTGCTCTCAGGAGGGTTTGAGGGTTGCTGGTGATAGGAGTTGACAGCAGAGCCTGGACCCAGACCTCACCCCTGAAATCTGTACCTGAGCCTCCCAGACCTCCACAGACGACGGAAGGCAGCCACCAGGCTGTCTCAGAACGCACGAATCACAGCCATGTTTATTGAACACTTCCTGTATGCCAGTCCTTACAGATACCACAGGTGCAGCTATCATCTCTAAGCCCTGTGCAGCAAGAGCCACAATTTCCACCTTTTACACCCAGGGCACCAATGCTCCTGGGCAGCACTCAGCGCAGGTCATGTGCTGGTGAGCAGCAGCATTGCACCCGAAGCCCTAACTGCTCCCCCAGGTGCTGCCGCCCTTGTGTGACAACTTCCTGGGAGACTGAGTCCAACCTGCCTGGCACCTCGTGGGTTAAGATCCTCCAAACCGACCCCAACCGGAGCTGGGCCAGCAGCCACTCCGATTCCAGGCTGCCTCAAGGACTGGCCTGGCCAGGAAGGGATGTGACCTTTCCCGTGACTTGCACTTGGCAATGTTCACCAGGGTTCCATCTCAAGGCCTGAGGCCCTGGTGAGGGAGTCCAGCAGCTGGAAGTAACTGTACTTGAGGTCATACTCCATGTCGTACCAGAAATTCACTGCCGAGAGAACAGGGACCTGAGTGTGAATGTTCCTATCCTAAAGTTCAGCCTCCCCAACCCATGCCGGGTGACCTGGGCAGCCCCTCACCAGCAATGCAGCCGTGGGACTGCTGGACATGGTGGAACCACAGGGCTGGCAGGTAGAGAATCTCACCAGCCCGAACCGTGCAGCGAAGGGCCTGGGCCTCACTGTAACTGGGGTACCGGGCCAGATCTGGAGCCAAAGGGTCCAGCGGAATCCAGGGCACCTGAGGACACAGCAGATGCCAGGGAGCAGGCCTGAAGCTCCAGGCCCTCCAGCCCTGTTCCTTCCAAAGGTAAACAGCACTGGCCCTGCCCAGGTCAGTACTGGAGGCTTTCTGAGCCTGCCCAGCTCTTTCAGACAGTGCCTCTTCGCCCAGGCTCCCACCCCTCCTCTGCCCCAGGCCTCAGAACAATGAAGACACCTTCTCCATGGCCTCTTCATCCACCACCTTAAAGGAGCCCTCATCAGTTAGCTGGTAAGTTGCTGGTGTATACAGCTCTGAAGATAGAAAGAAAGTGTGGGTACCCTCAAATGGCCCGGAGCTTGCCACTCCCTTCCATCTGTGCCCTGGGTGCAGGATCAAGAGGGTCAGAGGTCACAGCACAGTGGAGACACCGAGTCCACACCTCGGCCTAGGGTTCTAGGCTGCCCTCCCTCTACCTCGGACCACCAGTCCCCAGCCACTTAGGCCACAGCCCCTACCATAGGGGATGAAAGGCCGGTCACTGGGGGGATGTAACAGGAAGTGCTTCTCTCCCGACACCACACAGTAGAGGTTCTCGTAGTGGTCTTTATGCACTGCCAACACAAACGCCCAGCAGGCAGGGTCGAGAGGGGCAGGGCGGAGGGGGCTCGCCCCTCAAGACACTTGTAACTAACAGAAGAGGACAGGAGTCAGAGCAGGCTGGAGGGGTGGCAAGGAGTCTGGCACCAATTCAGAGCTCTGCCCGTCAGACCTGACACTCTCAGCCACACGCTCACCTCTACTAAGCGAAGTCATGCAAACAGGTTCTCCTGGGTTCATCCCCCTGACCTAGCTGTCGACTTCTTTGGAGAGCTTTCTAAAGACATAGGAGAAAGAGTGCCTCCCCACCCCCCAATATCATGGGTGTCCCTCCCACCCCCACCTGAGCTGTCCAGGAAGCCCTCTGTTGTGGCTGAGCCCTAGAAGCCCAGAAGAAATCTCAGTGAACAGTCAGTCCAAATTCCAGGCCCTACCTTCCACTCTGGGTTTCCTCTCCTCCCCCACCTCACATTCCCTGTGACACTTACGAGATGTCACTGCAGCTGCCTCCCCCAGCCAGAAGTTGACAGCATCCGGCATCTTTCCTGCAAATCAGAGGGAAGCAGGAAATCAGGAGGGGGTGTCCCCAAAGGCCAGGCTGGGAATAACCACCTTGTAGCAATGCTGAGTCAGAACCCAGACAAGAGCAAAGCACCCCAGGAAGAGAGCAGGAAGAGGCAGAGGTGGGTGAGCTTGGGGAGGAGTCGAGGGACAGGACAGCCGCATCTGACGGCTGATCTGCATGTCCATAGGCCTGCAGTGCAGGGCAGAAGGAGTGGCAGGCCAGCACCGAAGGGGGGAAGCGAAGCGGCAGGGCTGACTCCCTCCTTCCCACTTATCCTCTGCTGGGCCCCACGCCACCTCCACTTACCCAGCGCCTCAGAGGCCCACGGCACATGGGGCTCCAGGTCAGGCAGCAGCTGGGGCAGCTCAGTGGGCAGATTAGAACACTGCTTCTGTACGTACAAGACTCCCGGGTGCTGGGTGTGCCCCTCCAGGACGTCCAGCACGCAGCTCAGGGGCAGGCGGCGCTCAGCAGGCATCACGAAGCGGTCCCCTCGCACTGCATCCGCGTAACCATCTGGGGTCACAGCCACGCTAACCTCCGTAGAGCCCACTGTGGCCCTGGAGAAATGGACTTCAGCCCACGCTCAGAGTTACAAAGCACTGCCCACACCCCCCAGGGCAGCCCCCACCTGAGGTAAGGGAGAGACCACTTCTCCAGGGCCGGCCAGTGCTGCAGGGCGTTGCGGATGATGCAGGGCCTGTTGGGGCAGACCCAGTCCCGGTAGAAGTGAAGAGGAGTTGGGGGCTCATCCAGGTAGGGCACAGCAAGGGGCACGCTGAGCTCTGAGAGAAGAGAGGGGCAGGGGCTGAAGCCCACAGCACCCAACCCCTGCCCCACTGCCTTCAAGAGAACACCCTCCCCTAAGCAAGTCAGTCACTGAGTGATGCCCACTGGCAACCACAGACTCTGGATAGCCAGGAATGGGAAAATGAGGGAAACTGAAGAGAGTGGTAGGGGCTAGGGAGGGGAAGGGGAAGGGGTGAGACACTAAGCTGGTATAGCAGGAAGCCTGTCTGCTCTGAGTTAATTTTCCAGCCCAAGGACACAGCTGGGGATGTATGGGGAGCCACCCTGTCTGAAGATCAGCCTCAGCACACCAGGAGGCGGTGAGGCCAGGTGCCCAGGAGGCCGGTAAGGAGCTCGGGCTGGGCATCACAATCTCCTGGCAGCAGTGAAGGCTGCTCAGTGCTTAACTGTGTTTAACTCACTATAAAAAGGCAGCTGGAAAAGGAATGTTAAGGTGGTTATTTTAGGGTGTTAAGCCCCCCACCTTCCAGACTGCCTGCTGTCTGATTACAGCACACTTTAAAGATTCAATTCCTGATTCTGTTTTATTGGCATTCCTAAGACCCCAGCTCCGGTCTTCCAGTTCCACACCACGGCTGAGCCATGAGCGTGCACAGGGCGGGGAGCTGCTGCTCAGCCATGACCCAATCCCTCCATGGGGCCAAGTCAGAGCTCACACTGTGGCCCCTGGGCTTTCTCACGCGGCGGCGGTCAGCCTCCTGGCCTCCATCAGAAGAGGCTGCCGCTGAGGCCACAAGGCCACAGGCCAGCAGTGGTGTGGGGGTGGGTGGGGGCGGAGGGAGGGTGGGCAAGGGTCTGGAAAGCACGCTCCGGCCAGATTATTTCCTTCGTCCGCGTGGAGGCATCGGGGAATGATCTAGCCATGTCTCAACACTGAAGAAGGAAAAGCAAAGGCTAGCCTTGCTCAGACACCCAGGGGTGCCGAGGGCACTGAGGCAGCTGCACAGTGTCTCTCCTGTGTGGACGACAGCGGTGTCCTGTCTTACCCTAGTAAAAATCTCCTTCCTCACTCCTGTTACCCTGTTGATAGTCTATGTCCTGTTGATTCTATCTGCAGTGTGGCTCAAACTACCTTCGCCTCCTTTCCTCTGTTGGTATCCACATTCAAACTATCCCCTTTAGATCCTCTGATACTATTTTAATGAATCTTCCTCCCCTGGCCATCCTTTTAGAAGTTACAACCTGCCCCAACAATCAGAAGCTCCTTCTCATTTTTCTCTATCATGTATCACTATCCAACACACTACCTATTTCACTTATCAAAATTGTTTATTGGGTCCCTCCCACTGGCCCTAGGCACTTCCACACCCCAAACAGCCAAGCCCACTGCTCGCCTGGACTGGCGCCAGGAAAGGTCCCAGCTACTGGACCCACTATTAGGTAAGCACCCAGGAAAGTGGGAGAGGGAGACCCACACCCAACAGAAGCCCTATCTATAGCAGAGCAAACCTAAATACAAACAGGAGAAAGAAAAGCACAATGGTCAAGCAAGTCCTCAGAGGAACAATACACCACAAAAAAATCAACCTCCAGAAGCCACAACACTGTCACAGAACAATTCTTTTTCTTGTCTGATGAAGAATTTAGAATTGCCTTAAGTAAGTAAGTCAAGGAATCTGAGTAACACAAACAAAACTCAGAATAGATCAGAGATATATAAGAAGAGTCAGAAAAGGAAAAGAATTCTATGAGGAATTTAATCAATGAACAGGAAATTGAGATTTAACAAAACAAAGCAAGCAAATAAAGAAGGTAAAAGGATCAATGGAGAACAGAAAATATTCTGGAAAAAGCCCAGGAGATAGACTAGACACTATGGAAGAACAAATCAATGAACTTCAAAATGCAGATACAAAAACAGCCAAGATTAAAAAAAAAAAAAAAACCCTCCCTGGTGGTGCAATGGGTTTAAGCACAGCACTGTGAAGCTATCCATAGCCCCTGCAGCATGAGTTCTATCCCTGGTCAGGGAGGTGACCCACATGGTGCAGTAGACTACTCCTTTCTCACCCGCTGCTCCGCTCAGCAGTGTACTTTGATCTGCCTGTTCTGCTCCCCACTCTGTCTCTGGTGAATCTTCTCTCAACCCCTGCACCGCTGGCCTGTACCCCAGTTCTATATGCATAAATAAATCTTTAAAAAAAAAATCCGTGCTCACTTTTGGGGTATGACTCCAAAAAAATAAATAAAATGATGAAACACTTCAAGAACTATCTGACACAGGGGCCGTCCCAGGTGGCGCAATGGGTTAAAGCACAGCACTATGCAGCTAGTCACAGCTACTGCAGTGTGAGATTGATCCTCAGCCAGGGAGCTGACCTACAAGGCACAGGCAGACCTCTCCTGACCAACCTGCTGCTCCCCTCAGCAGTGTATTTCAGTCAGTCCCACACCCCTCTCTGTCTCTGGTGAATCATCTCAACCTCCACACCGCTGGCTTATACCCAGTTTTTGTACAGCTAGAATTATCTGACATCCTGGGGAAAGGAAAGAATCACAGGAGTTCCAGAAGGAGAAGAAAGAAAAAAGGAAGCTACTCAAGGAACTACCTGAAGAAAAGTTCCCAAAATTGAAGGACGACATGAAAATAGGCATATGGGAAACTAAACGCACATGACTAAAGAAATCTACAACAAGACATAGTATTAAAGCTTCCAAGAGTCGAAGACAAAGAAAAAATAATGAAGCTGACAAGAGAGAAGAAATAGGAAATTTATAAAGGAAAACCAATGAGGCTAACATCAGACTTCCCAGGAAGACATATTACAGGCCCGAAACATAAGAAATAACACATTCAAAATACTCCAAAACAAAAAATGCCAGCCAAGAATACTTTATTCTGCAAAACTCTCCTTCCCACATGAGGGAAAAACAAGGACCTTTTCAGGCAACCAAAACCTTTGGAAATTCACTAAACACCCACTCCAATATTAAAATAAGGTTTAGGATTAACCCAATAGAGGAGTGAAAATAAAGAACTGACCAACAAATTAAGCTGAACCGCAAAACAATAAACATAGTGGCAGCAACAGACTTGCAAAGATCAATAGTCTTTTTTTTTTTAAAATTTATTTTATTTATTTAATATAGAACTGGGGTACAGGCCAGAGATGCGGAGGATGAGAGGATTCACCAGAGACAGAACGGGGAGCAGTGGGCAGGTCAGGAGAGGTCTGCCATGCCATGTGGTCACCTCCGGGGCAGGCGGGAATCGAACTCATGCAGAAGTGGCTTAAGCTTCTTAATGCTGTGCTTTAACCCGCTCTGCCACCAGGAAGGGCCCAATAATCATTTTTAATGTTAATAGAGTAAACTCGCCAATAAAAAGACACAGAATAGCACGTTGGATTAAAGAACAGAATCCAACCTTCTGATGTTTCCAGGAAACACACCTGAGTTTCAGCGATAAACATAGACTGGGAAAAAACAATTCTACAAGTAAATGGCACCATAAAGAAAGCAGAAGTAGCTATACTTACATCAGATAAAATAGATTTCCAGGTAAAAAAGATGACAACAGACATGAGGAAACTATATTATGATCAAGGGGGGCAATACACCAGGAACATAACACTTGTCAATATGTACTCACCAATGAGGGAACAACAAAATACATCACACAATTATTATCACCTCTAAAAACAAACATTGGGGGCCCTCCCTGGTGGTGCAGCGGGTTAAAGCACAACACTTAAGAAGCTAAGCCACTTCTACATGAGTTCGATCCCCACCTGCCCCGGAGGATTGGCGTGGTAGACCTCTCCTGACCCGCCCACTGCTCCCCTCAGCAGTGTACTTTGAAGATCTGCCTGTTCTGCTACCCACTCTGTCTCTGGTGAATTCTCTCACCATCCCTGCACCTCTTGCCTGTACCACAGTTCTGTATGCACAAATAAATAAATCTTTAAACAGAACTAATAAACATTGGAGAAAATACATATGCAGTAGGAGACTTCAACACTCTACTCTCACCAATGGACAGATCAACAAGACAGAAAATAAACAAGGACACAATGGCACTAAACAAAGATCTAGATTACACGAGCTAACCAACATCTACAGGACAATGCACCCCCCAAAATACTGAATACATATTTTTCTCAAATGCACACAGATCATTTTCATTATGTAAATCACATACTGGGTCGCAAGATAAACATCAACGAGAACATGATGACTGAAATGATACCAATGATTCTCAGATCATAAAGGAATCAAACTAGAAATCAGCTATATGAACAAAGAAAGGAGACCCTCCTGCTCCATTATATGGAGACTGGATACTGAAAAACCACTGGATAAATGAGAGAATCAAAGATGAAAAAAATATCTTGAGATAAGTGACAATAAAGACACAACCTTTCAGAACATATGGGATGCAGAAAACGCAGTATTAAGATGAAAATTATATAGCAATACAGGCCCACATCAAGAAACAAGAAAGAACCAAAAGAAACAACCTAACCTTCCATCTTGAGGGACAAGAAAAAGGGGGGAAAAAATAAGAAGCTAGTCAAAGAAAGAAGATACTAAAAACTATAGCAGGAATAATGGACATAGAAATAAAAAGTCCAAAAGATCAATGACCAAAAGCTGGTCCTTTGAAAAAAAGACTTCTAGCCAAGCACACAAAGAAAAAGGGGGAAAACTCAAATAGGCTCATAAGTAAAAGAAAAATTACGACAGAGCAAAAATAGAGGGTCATCAGAGATTACTATGACCAATTATATGCAAACAAGTTCAACAACCTAGATGATATGGACAAATTCTTAGACTTACACAATCACCAAAGGCTGAACAAAAAAATAGAAAGCATGAATAAGCCAGTAATAAGGAAATGGAAACAGTAATGAAAACCCTCCCCCCAAAATCAAAAGCCCAAATGAATGTTCTACCAAACATTTAAAGATAAACTAATGCCTATCATCCTAAATGCCTATCCTCTTTCAAAAATTTAAGAAAGAAGGAATACTACCAAAAACATTTTATGAGGTCAACATCACACTAACACCAATACCAAACAAAGACAACAAACATAAAAAGAAAACTACAGGGCCTTCCTGGTGGTACAATGGGTTAAAGTGCAGCACTATGAAGCTGTTCATAGCCACTACAGCATGAGCTTGATCCCCAGCCAGGGAGGTGACCCACCCACATGGCATGGCAGACCTCTCCTGACCCACCCACTGCTCCCCTCAGCAGTCTATTTGTCAATCTGCCTGTTCTGCTCCCCACTCTTTCCGGTGAATCCTCTCACCCCTGCACCTCTGGCCTGTACCCTAGTTCTTGGATGCATAAATACATAAAATTAAAAAAGAAAACTACACACAAATCTCCCTACTGAACGCACAGATACAACTATCCTCAATAAAATATTAGCAAAATGAATAGAACAATGCACCAAAAAGATTACACAACATAACCAAATGGGATTTATTACAGGGACACACGGATTGTTCAATATCTGAAAATGATAAACACTTGCCCAATAAATTATTACTTACATCAACAAAAAGAAAATAAAAACCATATGATCATATCAGTACATGCTGAGAAAGCATTTGATAAAATTCAACATCCAATGATGTTGGCCTTTGAAAAGCTTGGGATTAAAAGGAGATTATCTTAACATAGTAAAAGCCATATATGACAAACCCACAGCTAACCTCATTCTCAGTGATAGAAAAGAAGAAAGATTTTTCCATTAAAGACTGGAGTAAAGGGCCCTCCCCGGTGGTGTAAAGGGTTAAAGTGCAGCACTGTGAAGCTAGCCACAGCTGCTTCAATACAAGCTTGGTTACTGGCCAGGAAGCTGACCCACATGGCACAGCAGGTCTGTCTCCCCCACTGCTCCCCTCGGCAATGTACTTCATCAATCTGCCTGTTCTGCTTCCCACTGTCTTTGGTGAGTCCTCTCACTGTCCCTGCACCTCTGGTCTGTACCCCAACTCTGTACACAAAAATAAATAAAATCTTTTTAAAAATTTGGGATAAGGATGTTTACTCTCACCACTGACTTTCAAAATAATGCTGAAAATCCTAGCTAGAGCAATTAGGCAAAAGAAAGACATAAAAGGAATCCAAACTGGAGAAAAAAGGTAAATAAGTAATTTTTTTTGCAGATGATATAAGATGTGTGTGTGTATGTTAAACCCTAAAAAATTCTATCAAAAACTTAAAACAATAAACCAGTTCAGTAAAGTAGCAGGCTACAAAAATCAATATAAAAAAAACTAGTCTTCCTATATGCAACCAGCCTGAAGAGCAAGAAATTAACAAATGTAGCCCCCCAAATTAAACCTGTTAGGTTTATTCCCTAAAGAAGTATACAAGAGAAATTATAAAATGTTGGTTAAAAAAAAAAAAAGACAAGAAATGGAGACATTCCCTGCTCTTGGACCAGAAGAATCAATATTATCAAAATAGTCATCTACCCAAGCAATTTACAGATTCAATCCAATAAAAGTCTCAATGACATTTACAAAAAAAAAAAAAATGAACACTGCTGAAATTCATATGGAATTAAAAAATAATAATAACCTGGGCCCTCCCTGGTGATGCAACAGGTTAGGACGCAGCACTGCAAGCGAGCCTCAGCCTTTTTATTATGAGTTTGATCCACACCCTGGAGGTGATCCACAATGCACAGCAGACCTCTCCTGCCCGCTGCTCCCCTCAGCACTGTACTTTGTCAGGTGTTCTGCTCCCCACTCTGTCTCTGATGAAGCCTCTCACCGTCCCTGCACTTCTGGCTTGTATCCCAGTTCCGTATGCATAAATACAAAAAACCTTGAAAAAAAATTAGAAGAGAATGCTATTAAACTTTTTTTAAATAAAAAAAATAGCCCAAATAGCTAAAGCCTTCCTAACTAAAAATGAAAGGACAGCAATATTCCACTCCCACACTTCAAACTGAACTATGAAGCCATAATAATAAAAACAGCATGGTACTGGACCAAAAACAGACACAAAGACCAATGGAATCAAATAGAAAACCCTGGAATAAAACCACACAGATATGGTTAACTAATCTATGACAACGGAGTAAGGAATATACACTGGAACAAGGAAAATCTCTTCAATAAATGATGCTGGGAAAACTGGACCAACTTATGCAAAAGAATTGGATGACTATCTTATACACAAACCAGGTCAAAACGTATAAAAGACTTGGATATAAGACTGGAAACCATTATACAGATATAAGAAAATAAGGGCAAACACTCCATAACATAAACTTCAGGATTATCATTAAGGACTCATCTCCAGAAGCAAGGAAAACACAGGGGAATATAAACAGCTGGGACTACATCAAACTAAAAAGCTTCTGTACAGCAAAAGAGACAGTAACCGAAACAAAGAGACAGCCCACTGAGTGGGAGAAAACATTAGCACACTATGTACTGGATAAGGGACTGATCTACAAAGAGCACACAGAAAGGCAAGCAACCCAATCAAAAAATGGACACACAAGAGCTAAACAGACTTTTCAAAGAAGAAATGCAAATGGCCAACAGGCATGTTCAATATTACTTATTATCAGAGAAATGCAAATCAAAAACAACAGTGAGATCTACCATATAACTCAGCAATTCCACTCTTAAGAATCTACCCAAAGGACTCAAATGTACTAACAAGCTTCCAAGAGGAAAATCCATGTTAACTGCAGGACTATTTATAAGAGTCAAGACATGGAAACAACCTAGTGCCTCTATAAACAGGTGAATGGATAAAGATGTGGTATACACACACACACACACACATATATACTCTCTCTCCCTCTCTCTATACACGTACACATACTGGAATATTACCCAGCAATTAAAAAAGACAAACTCATACCATTTGCTGCAAAATGTATGGGGCTGGAGGTGATTAGAGTAGCTGAAATAAGTCAGAAAGAAAAAGAAGTATCAGGCGGTGTCACTTACATGCAGTATAATACAGAGAAATCAAACAAAGGATCAAGAAGGCAAAACTTAGAACGTTGACCACAGAGCTCAGGCATACATACAGCAGGGGAGGGGGGTGAAAAGGGTTAGAACAGGGCAGGGAAGAGCCCAAGGGACTGGAGTGATGGATTTTGGGTGCGATGGTGGTGGGAAAACTACCAAGACTACACCTGAGAGGAGAAATCAAGCTGCGCAAAAATTCACAAAAATGTAAGGGGAAATAAAGCATTTCTTCTCCTATACAGTTAACTCGTTGCGTATGCCCTTGGCAGTCTCCTCATAAAGTCAGCTTTTCAATGAGAGCAGAGGTTCGGTTTGCTTTGCTTAGTGATGTAGGCTAATCACCCTTACGAGAGGCTGGTGCTCAGCTGGTATTTATTAAATGAATCCTCAAAAACAGTCACCGCGGCGTTACTGAAAATAATAGGTTGGAAATACTATAAATGCCTATCGACAGCGGGCTACTGAAATGGGCAGCACTAGTCACAGGTGTGAAGACGACCCAGGTGCAGCAACATGGGGCGACCTCCAGGGCAGTGCGGAAGCGTGGGTTCGGGGGGCTGAGGCTGGGAAAGGGGTACAGCGCCCTGCGTGCCCGCAGGTACAGAAAGAGCACTTGTGGAAGGGTGCACACGCGGAGTGGAAGGGTGGCGATTTTAAATGTAAACCTGTTGTTTAAGTCGCACACCTGCGTTGTTACTCAGCAGGAACAGATCAAGGCAGGCAACGCAGGGGACGCGGAGGATCGGTGCCCGGCCGCGAAGGGCTGGGAGGGCTGCACCGCCACCCGCAATCCTGCCCGCGCGCCAGCCCTCCCGCAGGGTCGGCTCCGGGACCAAGTTCCAGCTGGGGGCGCTAGCCCCCTTCAAACTAAGGCGGCACCCCAGGACCGCCCCGAGGGGCGTTCTGCCCCTTCGCTCCGTGCCGCGTGGGTCTGGGGTATAGGCAGTGCGAAGGCCGGAGGGCTGAGGGCCGGCACCCGGCAGGGGAAGGGCTGCCACAGGGGTCGGCGGGGGCGCGTCAGCCGGCCACGTGCAGGGGGGTTCTGAGCCCCTGCGGCCCAGAACTGGGGTGCGACCTGCTTTCAGCAGCCCGCGAGCCGGACCCGACTCTGGGGCCTGTTCCCCCCGCACGCCCAGCGTGCTTCCAGCGTCTTACGTCGTTCGTCAGCCGCCTCCAGGCCGCCGCGGTCGCGGTGCGCATCCACTCACCCCTCGCAGCGGCCGGGAACCCTCGTAACTCCCTCCGCACCGCGTCCAAAGCCGCCGCCGCCTCCGCCATGACGCCGCCGCGGGCCCACGCCCCGCCTCCCGCGCTGCAGCCCCGCCTTTACCCAGGGAGGCCCCGCCCCCGCGCCGCCCGGCCCCGCCCACACGCCCACGCGGCCTCCCCACGCAGCGCGCGAGGAGCGGCGCCCACCCACTCGCGGACATCCCGAAGTTAACAAATGATTGTGTTTATTGACAAGTTCATACATCAATACAAACGGACATGTTAAAAACAGCCTCTGACCCGTGAGAACGGGGCAGGAGGGAAGCGCCAGGGCCAGACACAGTATAAAAGTTATAAATAAGGGGCTTTTAAACAGGATTAGGGCAAATCTGGACGGAGTTGGGGGGTGGTGGGGGGTCCGGGGGGAAAGGGGGCCAGCAGCTGCCGGTGGCCTCAGACATGCAGAAGGGAAAGGGGCACCAGCCCAGCCCGAGACCCCACCCCACCCCACTAGGCTGGGGGTAAGGAATGAGCGACCACCTTCTCTTGAACCTTAACTGGAGTGTAATATCTCCCTTCTCGAGGGACTGGCTGGCTGAGGACCCCAAGGAATCCAGCCCAGGGCAGACTGGCTGGCACATCAGTAGAGGGGGAAGTGGGAGTGGATTTCCACCCCTCACAGGGGCCACTGCAGCCCTGCCAGGGGACCCACCCCCCACCCTCCATTGGTGACAGTTCTCCAGACCAGGGTCTCTCTGTGTCTTGGTCACGCAGGTGATAGTAGTAGAGTAGGGGTGAAACAACTTCACCTGCTAAAGTGCCTGTAAGCTGAATGTGGACAGCTGGGTACGCTTAAGATACCAACTTCTTAAGTCCCTGCGAGCGAGCAGGGCCCAGGCCTGTCCAGTAGATGGGAGGGCTGTTGTGACCTGATGCAGTACAGCTGCCCTGACTTACCTGCGGCAGAGGCAAACAGTGGGGCCCAGAGACACATTTCCTCACCCCAACTCAACTGCCTCATGACTTGCTCCTACTCTACCACTTTGCCTACCTCCTGCCTCTCACCCCTAACAACTGCCTTTCTAATTCTAACCTACCCTTTCCCTCCACCACTTACCTGTCCCACCTACCACCTTTACATATCTCATGGCCCCTGTGAAGTCCCACGTCTCCCTCCTCTCAACTGCTTGAGCACACCTGGGTGCCCAGCACCGCCTTTGAAGAGGCCATTTCTAGCTGAACCATGGACTCCAGGGAACATCTCTATCAGCCAGGCTAGACACCAAGAATGAAGAATATGTTCCATTCCTTTCTGCGCTCCTTGAGCAGAGTTCACATGAACCAAGATGGCAAAGCAGGGCATGAGAGAACACCAGGCACACACCAGCCAGCCAAGCAAGAAATCTAGCTATGAACACAAGTGTGTGTGTGTGTGTGTGTGAGAGAGAGAGAGAGAGAGAGAGAGAGAGAGAGAGAGAGAGAGAGAGATTTCATCTGTGGCCAAGGTTCTTAGAAGGTGGGACAGTGCCCTGTAAACCATGAGGGAAGTTCCAACACAGGCTTCTGACCGAGCATCACTCAAGGATCCAGGGAGAAGGTTGCCTCAGGATTCCAACAATCTGCTGGGGACCAGAGTTGGCAGTTAGGGAAGTCAGAGGGTAAATGGCCAGGTCTCCTTGTTTGCCCAACAGAGAGCTCTACTGTCCTGCAGCAACATCCCAGAGCTGGCTCCAAGAGTCCTGGCCAGGAGAAAAAGGAAGCAGGCAATGCAAGGGCCCTGCTGGAGGGGGAAAGGGGTGGGAGTGGAATGTGGGGGCTCGGGACTTGATAACAATTCAAGCCTCTTTATAGCTGGGAAACGCCCTGGAGGGCCAGAGGGCTCTGCCTTTCTGGCCTGCCAGGAAGGGGGTGAAACCCGATAACCCCTTCTCTGGCAGCCAGGGCAGTGCAGCTGGTGTGGGAGAAGTGGAGGTAGAGGTGAAACTCAGTTGTTGGCTGAAGGGCACTGAATGCACCCTCGCCTCTCGCCTACACCCCACTGAATACCCTGTGTGTGCTCCACCCCAGGGAGCTGATCCCTGCAGTAAATTCAAATGGCTTCTAAGAAGAGGGCCAGCCCTTCCCGATTACCCCCAGATGGAGCAGGCTGCCTCCCTACTCCTCACAGCACCAAGATGACAGACTCATACCCCTGCATGAGCCACTGGAGGGGCTGTGGAGGCAGGAGTCCAAGAACATGAGGCAACAGTCAGGGAAATAAATTAATAAATACAGGGACACAGTGGGGAAAGCTGTTCCCCCTCTGAGCACTGATCCCTGCAATCCACTCCAAGCATCCCCACAGGTTTTGGTGAGTGGAGAAATGGGTAGAGTCTGGAATAAGGGGACTTTTCACTTGGGACGGGCTTCTGGAACTCAGAGTCTGCGTTCCATACGCCGCTCCACAGCCCGAAGCAGCAGCTCCGAGTATTGCTCTAGCAGGGCCTGTGTTTGCTCGGCCCCCACAGACCCAGGGCTTCCACCTGGGCTGGTCAACACTGGCCCGGTCAGTGTCTCTAGCTCCTGCCGCACTGAAGAGAAGGTGTTTCTGAGGAGGTGAGCGACGCGACTTTGCTCCGCTGTGGGCGTCTTACAGCCGGTCACCTGCAAGAGGACCCCAGGAGTGAGTTGGAGAAAACAGTGGAAAAAGGAGCACAGACTCCATGGTGCTGACACTCCAAGATCAGCAAGTGTGAGCAGACTTGGGGGGACATGGAGGAGTCCGTGGATAGTGGCACCATCTACGTCTGGTTAGCAGCTCCTCTTCTGAGGCTTGGCCCTGAGGGCCCTCTGTTAAGGGAGCCAAATGGCTTTTGAATCCAGAAGGGCATACTACTAACAATGACGCCCGAACAGGCACAAAGAGGGACAGTCCCGAGGGAAGGCAATTGTGTGCCCTCTCTGCCTCCTCACTTCTCGACTGTCTCAGGAAGTCTCCAGCTCTCAGCCAGAGATGCTCAGTTTGAGAGGGCCTGGACTGGCCTCTAATCAGCTCGCCCACTACGCCAAGATGTCCTTGACCCCTCCACCCACCACCTGCAGAACAGCCTCGTTATAACTGTCCTGGACACTCAGCCACTTTTATGCCTAGAGCTCCTGGCTGCTGTCTTCCCACCAGTGGTACCCAACACTCACCAAGTGGTAGAGCCGCACCGCCTGGCGCACGCTGCCTTGCAGCTCTGCCACAAGGTGTTGGCACTGCTCCAGGCTTACCGCTGGTTCTGAAAGGGACACAGATGGTTCAGTAAGGCCCAGCAAGGCTGCCCTCTCTCAGGCCTTCTCTCCAGGGGCTACTCAGATCAAGAGGCCTACCCAGCATCACACCCGCTGTACTCACATACAGCTCCTTTCTGCCTCCCTCCCCTGCTGACACCACACAGAAAACAAGGCACAGGGCCTGCCCCTGCCCACCTGGCCCAGGCCCCAGGAGCCAGGAAGGACAGAGGGAGCATGTGGCTTGCAGGGGATCACAAAGACTGCCGGCAGGAGAGTGTCTCACCATGGGGGTGGGGGGGAGGCGGGGTGACTTATGGACCAAGGCACAGACCAGACAGGACGAAAAATGCCAGAGGCTGGGCGCACAGAAATGGGACGGAGCCAGAGAGCAGCCAGCAGAGACAGGAGAGAGGATGGGGCAGGAGAGGAGAGCTGGAAGCAGTGCACACCTGAGTCCTGGCTCAGGGCTGCCCCTGGCCTGGCACATTCCACAGGGCTGGGATTCTTCTCAGGGGCTGGGGGCTGCAAGTTGTCAGGGCCTCGGAGGAGGCCGCCAAGTGGCAGTTGCTGAGCACAGGGGCTGCCGGGCCCAGGCTGAGCCTGACAGTCTGTCCGAGGCTTGGGAGCGGTACCGTCCCCGAGACAGGCCCGCCTCTCAGGCGCACTGTGAGCCTTTCCTGGGCCTGCTAGGGAGCCAGGCTGCTCTGCCTCACCAGGGGGCCGGCCCTTGGTTACAGGAGAGAACGTGGCCAGAGTAGGACGATCGGGCAGTGGCTTTGGGATGTCCAGGACCAGATGAGCCCGGCTGGGCAGGCCCAGCTTGCTGAGCGGTGAGACGCGGACGGAAGCAGGAGAGTGAGGTTCTGTCGCCAGGCCCACGTTCTCCCCAACAGAGACGCTGCGGGACATCTTGGCCGTGGAACTGGTGATGGAGTTCTGGTAGGACTGGGGCCTCGACAGGTGGCCATCAGTGTGCGGCGGGGAGCGCAGGCCCTCCTGGGCCCCCGTCTCCTGTGAGGACAATGGGCCTGGTAGAGGGGCCGCATCTGCAGAGAAGACAGAGAGAAAGGCAGGTCATCTGGTGAGGAAGGTGTCCTCAGTGCTGAGCTTGATCCCTATTTGCTGCTGGGCCCCCACACACACCCACTAAGGAACACACGAGGCCAACAGTGACTCCCATCCAGTCCTCCTCCAGCATGCTCACACGTCCCGCACCCCAGGCCCTGACGCTGAGCCCGGCAGGCTCCTCACCCTGTGGTACCAGGCTGTGCACAGACTGAGCCTTCTGGAGTCCACCTGAGGCGCCAGGTGGGGGCCCAGCTCTCTTGGGGGCCCAGCTCCTGTCCGGGCTGAGTCGGCGTCGCGGCAGTAGCACAGGGGCTGCCCGCTGGGAGGTGGGGTTCCCAGGGGAGGGCTCCACCTCCGGGGGTGCTCCCGGAGGACTGACGTCACTGCCTCTCAGCGGCTCGCCGGAAGCAGCGTGGGGTACCTGCATTGGTCCTGCCTTCAGTGCTGGCCTTGAGGAGGACGGGGACGGTTCCCTGCAAGGAGGATATGTGGAAGGCGGTGCAGAGAAGGCTCAAGGATCCTCCCTGCCACCATGAGATGTTTTCGTGGCGCCAGAGGGGTGCTAGAGGAGAGCAGCAGGCACAAAGCCAGAGAGGGTTGGGGCAGGCCGGCTCTCCCAAAACCTCAAGTGGAAAATACTACTAACACTTCAAAATTCTTTTGACCGTCCAAGGACAGAAGCCTTGGGGGGACAGCAGCACTGCTACCCCAGGGCAAGACGGGCCCACGTGGAAGAACTGTGAGAGCTCCTGGCAGGACAGCAGGGAAGCTGTGGGAGAGCTACCTGAGCGGGGGGGTCTGCGCTTGCAACAGAAATCGTGACGAGATGCTCCGAGACTCGGCCCTCTCCAAGACCCGGACTGGGCCCCCTGCCAGGGTGACAGAAAGCGCACACTGAGGCAAGCCCAGGCCCTGGGAACCTCCTCCCCTAGAAGGCCACCCTAGGGCATGGCCTGCTCTCAGACACTCCCTCTCGGCCAGGTAAGGAGGAGCAGATGGCGGTGGCCTAGGCCCTCTGGCCACACCTGGAGCAGTCCCATTGGCCAGGGTCTCAAAGTGCTGTTTGAGAAACTGCTCCTGATCCGGCGTCCGGGGACTGCCTTCCTGAAGGCCATAGGGGCCAGTGCCGCCCTCCTCTTCCTCCTCTTCCTCATCACCCTCAGCTGGCTCTTCAAGGTCTGAGGAAATGCCATCCACACTCAGGGGCTCCGTGCTCTCAGAGTCTGGATGTGGGGGAGGGGAGAAGCATCACGCTGCACCCATCGGCCGCCACAGCCTCCACTCCCGCCCCGGCCCACTGACCTGCGTGGGGCCCGGCCCTCCCTCTGTGCTGCGGCCTCACCTTCATTGGGGTGCTCAGGGCTGGAAAGGCGGCTGCTGCTGTAGTCCACAGAGCAGGCACTGTCAGGGCTATGCTTCTCTGAGGCCCGGCCCCCGGGGTACACTCTTCCCAGGGCGCCTCGGGCTGGAGCCTGCACCTGGAACTCACTGCTGGGGAGGTCAGCATGGGAAATGAGCAGCAGTGAGCAGAGGGGAGCAACGGCCCCACTGGACTCCCGCCTTCCTCCCCCCGACCTGTGAGAAGGATTAAGGATGAGCAGGATGAAATAGCAGGCAAGCCCTGAGGCCCCGGGCCCAAACCTCCCCAACTGGAAACCCCTCAGGAGGAAGGGACGCCTGGAGACCACATGGCTCCCGAGGGCCACTGGGGCGGGACTCTCGCCTGGTGTCCAGGGTGGGGCTGTCGCTCGGCTCTGGGTACACAATGCCATCTTCAGTGGGGGCAGGCTCCAGGTCTTGGGCAAAGACCCCTTCCTCTTGAGACAACAATCGGATAATGTGAGGGCAGGAACAGGGGTGAGAAGCATGAGGTTGAGGGGGCTTTTCATTCTGGGGACGAACAAAGGGGTGTTACTGAGGTGGCCGATGTGAGAGAGAGGATCTGGGCAAAGAGGCGGGGGGTGGGCAAGGATTTGTGTGCACCGATTCTAGGCTAAGCCTGGAGCTGGAATACGCCAACCCTGAGGACATAAACCAGGCCAGGCTGGTCTGCAGTTCTTGAGCGTCTAGAAGAATGACATCAGCACTCTGGCCGCATGGCTTCCAGACCAGACCAATGTACTGGGAGCGTGAGCCCTTCAAGGAACCCGGCCCGGGGAAAAAGGCCTCTCTTAGCTTCCCCACCATTCCTTGCCCACCCCGAGTACCACGCCTTGCAATCCAGCAGCGTGTGAATCCTGCAACTCAGGTGACCCCTGTGCTACAGGGCGTGCTGGGGCTCACCTGGCCAGCAGGTGAGGTCTCAGAGGCCTTCTGAGCATGTTTCCCAAGACCAGCGGGGTTCAAAGACAGTGAGTCCTGGCTAGGGCCCCGAGGGTTAGGGGCCAGTGCTTCCAGCTGCCTCAGGTCCAGCATAGAGCGAACACTCAGCTCCACACCCGGCTGAGCCCAGCGCCCCCTTTTTCTGGGTCCTTGGTTGGCTGCTGGAGCCGAATTCAGGAACTCCATTGTCTGCTGTGCCTGGTGTGGGGTGCGGTAGGAGAGCAGCAACAGTAAGAGTCAGGCGACAGTCTTAGTAGATGCGTGTACCCCTTATGCATGCCCAGCCCTGTGCACCTATTAGCTCACAAAATCGCCAGGACTGCCTAAGGAAGCAGGTCCTGTTATTCCCATTCTTAGAGAACAAAACTGATGCTCAGAGGGCTCAGGGAACAATTAGTGGTCTGTCCACCCGCCAGTTTGGACTCAAGAGTTTAAGCTCGCGGCTTTTCTCCGCCTCCGTCTTAGAGGACCTTCTCATCTCAGACTTCACCTGGTGTCACAGATGCCTCAGAGCTTCAAATTTCTGAAAGCCCCCCTTCTACAGACAGCCCCGAGAGGGCCCCAACCCGTTCACAGTACCAAGGACAAACCAACAGGGTCTGGTCACTGAAACTGCTGCTGCTGCTCAAGTGTGCTAGCACTTGAAAGCCTGACCCAGGACTGGTGAGAGCCAGGCCCCAAAGGAGCTGCTCTGAAAGCCTTTGTCCTCACGCGGGCTCCCCAGAAAACAACCGCTCAATGACGGGTCTTCTTAGGGCCTTCACCCTCCAACGCTCATGCAAGTTCTGAGCTCACCTCCTCTCCTGGAGGCGCTAGGGCAGGTTCCTCTAGATTTCTGCTGTCTGGACCTTTGCTTTTCTCAAACTTTATTTTGCCTCACACACCCCTTTTCTATTCCTTCATATGCATTCATATTCACTCCTGACAGCTTAACAAGTGGAGCATTTCCCCTAGTGGTGTTGGCTCCAGAGCCCGCCTCACCTGACCCACAGCAAGGAAATCCTGGGCTCTTTCATTCCCATGCTGGGACCAGCTCTGCTGCCCACACAAACTCCTGACACAGGTATTTCCAGACACCAGAAATGGAGCACGGGGGCAGGCCCCACACCCAAATCCTCACCAGAGCCAGAGAAGCCTACTCTCACCTTCCTTCACCTCATAACCTCGGAAGGGCATTGTAACGACAGCAACTCACCCGACTCATCTCCCAGTGGGACAGGCTTCGGGGCAGGGCTGCGCTGGGCACGGTGGCTAGACAGAGACCAGAAGTCAGAGAGAGGGGCCCTGCCCACCCCCTGGAGCCCTGATCCCAACCAGCCCATAACCGGGCAGGCCACCACGATGCTCTGGTTTCCTCTGCGCCCTCTGCTGTCACCCACTGTCCCAGGCAGGGCCTATCTAGCCATTACACCGACCGGCACCAACTGGCTCCAGACCAGACTTCCACAGACCTGGCTCTTTCTTGGTACCCTTGGCAAGGACGGGGAGGGCTGGAAGTTCTTCCTCTTCTGTACCCTCATCTTCTCCCTCCTTGTCACTGTCTGATGAGAGAGCTGGTCCAGGACAGAGCACCGATGGGGCCTCATGCCTGAGTCCAAAACAAGGAAGGTGAGGGGGAGAGGCTGGTCAGTGGGGAAGAGGCCACTGTCGCGGGTCTCTGTGTGAGAAGCGGGTGCCGGGAGTAGAGCGGCTGCTGGTAGGCGCCGAGCACGGAGCAGCAGTGAGAGCCAGCGAGCTGCGTGGATACCCGCTACCTGCCCATTCTCTGTGCTTACCGGCTGGGTCCGGTAGCTTTTTGGGGAGAGGACGGTCCTTGCTGCTTGCCCCCTCTCTGACGCTGGCGCAGCTCAGCCAGACGCTGCCTCATGCTGATGGTCATCTCAGAGCTCAGGCGCCACACAAAAATGCAGCTGGGGAGAGTCCGAGTTGGGTGAGGGAGGGGTGCAGAGGCACTCTGGGGGGTGGGGGTGGGAGGTGCTCTGGACGGCCAGGCCAGGCCCCGCCAAGAAATCTCCCTGTCAGTCCGACTGCCCGGAGACACCACTCAAGGGAAGAGAGGGAGGGGGCAGGGAGCCTGGGGCTCAGAGCAGGAATCTGCATTTCAGGAAGCTAGACCCGGCTCACCTGTCCCCTGACACAGAGATGAGGTGTTTGCAGTCATTGCTAAACTTCATGCCGGTGACAATCTCTGTGCAGAACAAACAGGACAACCCATAAGCCACCCTGAGCCCCCAGTTTCTGTTTCAACAGTGGCGATCGCAGTTGGTTGGGGAGCAGGAGAGGGCAGCTCTGCTGAATCCCAAGAAACTGAAGGAATGAAAAGTGAGGTTCTGGGGGTAGAATTCTGGGGTGACACTCACCTGAGTGGCCAAACATGGTGGCCACACATTCGCCTGAGGAGAAGTCAAAAATGGAGAGGTTCTTGTCAGAACAGCTGGTGGCAATGTAGATCCCGGAGGGGTCTGTCTGCACCTGAGGAGCGGGACACACAGCCGCGGAGGGTGGGAGCGCCCGTGCCTCCCCCGGCCAGTGCCCCTCGCACTCCTCCCTCTGGCCAGTGCCCGTCCCATTGGGCCCTTACCTTAATGAGCGTGCCATCCTCACCCTGCGACCCTTTGAACAGCTTCTTCTGCTTCCCGCTGCTGATGTTAAAGATCCTGTGAAGAAACACACCCACGCGAGGAGGAGTTCATGCTCAAGAATAACCAGGGCGGCAGGAAGGGCAGCGTTCGCCACTGGGGGCCACTCCCCAGCACCAAAGGGGCTGCTACCTCTTGGGCGGTACTTGGTCTGTGTGTTCCAGGGGACCCCAAAGTCCCGGCCAGCCAGGTTGGCGTGGGGACTGCGCAGCCTACACAGGGACCCCCCTGGGCATGAAGATCGTGGCCAGACGGCCTGCGGCGAGAAAGGGGTGCCTACCGGATATTTCGGTCCTGGCAGCCGATGGCCGTGTACTTCCAGCTGGGCTCCACGTCCATGTCATAGAGGGTCGTCTTCCTCACCACGTGGTGTGTCCGTGTGAACTGCACTCCATCTCCAGTCTGCGGGCGGGAGCATGTGGACAGACCTCACGCCAAGAGATTCACCGGGGCGAGAGCACCCTGCTTTCACACCCGCCTCACCTCTTGTAGCTCAAGGTAGGAGAATGGCAGAGACCCCACCCCACGTCCCCTTCAGGGAGTCCCGGTCCCCTCACCTTCTGCGCGGTGCGGAAGTAGATGCTCTTGTCTGCACCACAGCTGATCATGCGGACTTGCCCGTCGCTGGCTATGGAGGATGGGGCCTTGCTGTTCCCACTGCTCTCGCCACAATGGGGCCTGCCTCTCCTCTGCCTTCCCTTCATACTTTCCCCCGGGAGCCACTCCCCATGACCACGACAACCCATAGGAGCTGGAAGCTTCCCTCTAAGCCTGAGCTTTTCCTCCTCCCCAGTCTCTGTCTGCCACTGGGGTTGGCGCGGGGCTCCCTGGACTGCAAGCCTGCATCCCACCTATCTCCCCCCAGCTTCAGGTCTCCCAGCCGCTGTCCAGCAACCCCCACGTTGGCAGAGCCTTCTCATGGAGAAGTGTGGCCAGGGCTGGGGGTTCGGTGGTAGGTGACAGGATGCGTCTCAACTACCCTGCCCTCACCCCCACCTGCAAACTTGACAGCAGTGATGGAGGATGAGTGCTCGTCCAGCGTCTGCTGCAGGCTGTATTCTCGTCCAGCGTCCAGCACGTGGATCAGCCGGTCCCGGCTCGCTGACGCCAGCAGCTTCAGACCTGTAGTTGAAAGAACTCCATCAGCCCACCTGTGCCCAGAGCCGGCCTCTGTCTGGGCTCGGTCAAGAGCTCTCAAGGAACTGATTTCCGTAGCCCTAAGCCAAGTGGACAAGGAGCTGTCCTCTAACCTACAAGATACTGATAATTCCAAGGATTTTGAGCCCCACATCCAAGAGGCAGGATAGACTCAGCGGCATACGGAGGGCCGGGTGAGCTCTGCCTTTCTGGGCTGTGTACCGGGCATCGCCTTACCTGTGTCTGGCTTGGAGTACTCCAGGCACAGAATTTCCGAGTCATGGGCCTCCACCTTCAGCATCTCACTTAAGGACTGCAGCTCGTGTACCCTGCAAGGAGGAGGAGGAGGCAAGAAGTCACTGCCAAGCTACAAGACCAGAGACTCACACTCCTTCCTCTGCTCTAGCTCCCCACCTAAATTTTTTACTTAGTTTCTTTTTGAACCTTTAGGCCTAGAGAAAAGTTGCAATAAATACAGAGTTTCCAGAATAAATACAGAGTTTCCAGATTCACTCACTCGGCTTTCCCCAGTGTTACCATCTTACATAACAATAGTTCAATGACCAGAACCAGGATGTTTACATTAGGATGACACCACTGATCAAAGACTATTTTAATTTCATCAGTTCTTCCAGCATCCTTTTTCGGGATCCAGGATCCTAACTAAGTAGTGTGGGCCTCGTGATGTCGCTATCAGAAAGTTAAGCCGGATCACTTTGGTTAAGATGATTTCAGCATTACAAGTTTATTACACGGTCACTTTTATATAATGAACACCTTGTTCCCAGACTTTTTGAGACAGACCTTCCTAAAGCTCTGTCCTTGGGACCTAAATCCGCCAGCGGCACCATGGAAGGTGGTGAGCATCCTCTCAGGCCTGGCATTACCTTAGTGTGCCCATGCGGTCTCCTGAAGCTAGATGTTGTCCATTGGGGCTGATACACATGGAGCGGATACCCACGCGGGGATCCATCAGGGACGCGTCAGCTTTGTCTCCTCCGGGCAGCTCGGTATCCAGCAGGGCCTGAGTGTTCCCATCCACGTAGATGATTTTAATGAGGTCCTAGAGGAGACCAGGGGAAGAGGTGGGTAACGCAGGCCCGACCCAGGAGAGCTGCAGGGGCGGAGGAATGCTGGACAAGAAAAAGTCTGGCTCACAGAGCCCAGCCCAGTCGAAGACCAAGGTCTGGGAACCCAGTGCCTGTGAAAGCTAAGGGGGTAGGGGCCCTACGTGTGCAATGGGGTCCCTAAGGCTTCAGGGCTCACATTGCTGAGTATGTTTCGGTGCAGGGTGGAGCCATGTACCCCGGAGCTCTCTGTGTTCCACAGGCGGATGGTGTTATCCGAGGAGCAGGTGATAAAGGAACTGGGGGGCAGGCAGGCCTGGTTACTGTCCTTCACTTCAGGGTAGACCTGCAGGACAGAGGAAACAAAGTCAGACTTCTAATCAGGGGCAGTCCCCTGCCTGCCCAAGGAGAAGGAAGAGGATGTGATTACGCCGACTTCGATGCAGTCCAGTGTCTGTCCCAGAGAAAACAAGCCATAGCCATCAGATTCCCTTCATAGTTACTACCAGGGAGCCCATTAACCAAGCACCCAAGACGTACCAGACACAGCTCTATGTCCCCCATTTAGAGTATTTAATCTAATCCTTAGGACACCTGAATGAATCGGCACATCACTTTACGGTTGAGGAAACTGAGGCTCCGTCAAGTGCAGTAACTCATCCAAGATCACCCAGTCCAGGATGAGGCAGGGCTAGGAACAGATAGGGTGCAGTGGAAGAAACCTGAGGTATATTCTCAGTAACATTCAAGCTCAACCCTTAGGAGCCGTTTGAGGACAGGCAGATACATGGGGCTGTTGCTGGAGAAACAGAGAGGGAGCAGGAACAGAATATTCTACTTGGAGATCCGCACTCACTATCCACACCTGCAATGGCATCCCAGAAACCTCGGTCAGCTGCAAGCCAGCCCCACCCACATACCTCCACACTCCAGACGCAGGAGGAATGATACAGAGCCGAGTACACCTTGCCCACTTTCTTGGGGTCCCTCACATCCCAAACATAAATGCTGTGGTCATTGTATACACAAGACAGCCACTGATTCGTCGGATCAAAAGTCAAGGCGATGGTGTCTGGGTACCTAGCGTTGGCCACTCCAGAGAAGAGGCGACTGTGGGGAAGAGAACAGGGCACACTGGTCAGGGACTGATGAAGTAATGGACTGGAAGGGCTAAAAAACAGAAGCCAACCCACAAAGGATGAGGAAGGGGTATAGGGCGTGGGGAGTCCTCTCCAGACCAGTGGATTTAGAGCCAGTTGCTTGGGAAAAACCCAAAAAACAAGCAGACCCTGGCAGCTGGCCTGGCACTAGCTGCTGACACTGGGCAATGACATGTGGCTGACACTGGGCAATGAAGGCCGACACTGCCACGGAACAACGCCAGGCGAGGCAGCTCTGTGGAGCCACGGCAGAGCGAAACGAAATAAGACAACTCTGTGATCGTGTCTGAGCACGAAGATGACCGACACCCTCTCCCAGCTCTCGTGGCTGACTGCAGCTGCTTTACCAGGTATAGCTCCAGCCCTGTACATTTCTTTCCACACGTCAGATGAAAATTAAGGTGTCTAGTTGTAGAATTGCTCCCACTGCCTGACAGCATCCAACCAGAGCAACACTGCGATCTCTGGGCCCATTCCTAAATTCATCCAATGCTAGTCCAAATCTAAAATAAGCCCCTCCTCATACCACTTAGTGAGATGCTCCCTGGTTCCTCACAGTTCAGGGTCTTCTTAGTTGTAACAACTGCCCAGAGACACGCACCTGTTGTCCATGGAGCACCAACATACACACTTTGCCTCCTTTCCCGAAGCAGAGCCAGGGAAGGCTCTGGAAGGAAGCTCAGGCCATCAAGCTCACCTGGCCTCAGTGACGCTGGCAATGTCTGTCCCCAGGGCATGGGGTCGGGGCAGAGTGCTGAGGAAGTGCAGGTTAGAGGGGTTGAAGAGGCGCACAGTGCCATCAGCACAGCCACAGAAGATGTAGTCTTGGCTCACAGAAATGCAGTGGGCCACGGTGGTCTGCAAGGAGAGAGGCCCCGGTCAGCAGGGGCCACCCGCCCCACCCTTCCTCACCAGTCACCTGCCAAGAAGAAAGACCAGCCAAGGCAGGAGCGAGAGAAAAGCAGCCCTGCTGCTCCGGCCTGAGCCCCGCAGCTGTTACCTGGAGGGTGCCCCTCCCTCCAGCAGCTGGTGGCCAGAGGGCCCAAGCCACATGCAGTTGGCAGAGGGGAGTCGGGGGCCCCTCCAAGGCATCAGAGGTCTTGGCAAGGCAGACAAAGTAGGAAAAGGCGAGCAAAGGTAAAGAAACAGCATGAGAACGAGAGGACTCTAGGCAGCACTTACTGTGAAGCTGTCTGTATTCTGAGCAGAAGAGGAAAGCAAGGGAAAGAAAGGCAGAAAATGAGAGCGGAGAGGAGGCAGTTGTATCGCTCTACATGGGCTGGACATGGCCACGCTTGGCTCCCCCAAGCCTCTCCCCTGGGGTCCCTCATGCACAGAGGCCCTGGCCCTGGTGTGGCGCCACAGGCATCAGTCCTCCCCTAAACTCAGATCGACAGCTCCTCCCTGCAAGGTAGAAGCCCTTACCCGCAGCTCCACCCACTTGTCCAACAGCCTCCGGTCGCTGAACTCGCACAGGAGCCCCGACGATGTGATACAGAAGGTGCTGTCCGCCTTCTTCCCCCGGCCACAGGCCACGTCAGTGAAAAGGTTGTTCCGCAGCTCCCCCAGCAGCCCTGAACGGCCCAGCAGGGGCACAGTGGCATTCACCTGTGCAGACACACCCTCAGTTGTCCACCCATGCCCCCCAGAGCTTGCCTGGGGAGAGGGGATGTACGCAGCAAGCCCACCCGCCCTGTGAGACCACTCCTCAGCCCAGACAGCACCTGGCCCACCAGCTCCCCCAGAACTGTTGTGTGGCTGCTGAGCCAGCTAAGAGTGACCCACAGAAGCAGGCTCTCCTGGGGCAGGCTGAGCCTCAGCACCTCACCTTTGAGGTCTTGCTGTCATCCAGGTACCAGAACTTGATGTGCCGGTTGCCTGCCGTGACAAAATAGCTGCAGTCTTCGGAGAAGGACACCGCTGTCACTCGACTGGACACCTTATTGGAGGCCACCACGATGTTTTTCTAGAGGGAAAGACACAAGAAGAATGAAGGGTCTGCCTCTCCGAGGCAGAAGAAAAGGCCCAGAGGGCAGAGGAGGGTTAGACAGGATTTGCACCAGACAAAACTTTTCTTTCTAGGATTGATTAGCCAACAAAGGGGCGGGGGGATGCTAAAGAAGGTGGAGAGACTTGTTTCCTCTGGAGGTCCTTGAAGGCATAAATCTAGTCTCTGTCTGCCAACACGTTTGGCCACACAGTTGCTCCCCTCTGCTCCAGACCATTTTCTAGAAAGAAGCTATGATTGGCAGGGTAGAATAAAAGGGTTCAGACCAGTGGCTTCCTGCAGCCCCGCCCCCACCCCCCTCCGCAGGCCCAGGGGCGCACTGGGCTGCCCGCCCCGCTGGCTGTCAGGCCGGCGGCTCAGCCCACTCACCTTCCAGGCCCAGACGTTGACGATCATGTCATGCTGGTAGCCCACGGAAACAATGTACTTGGCGCTGGGCGAGAAGGCCACGCAGGCCACGCCGTACTTGTGCTCCTGCAGCTCCGCCACCTGGCTGTGCTCGGCCACGTCCCACACCCGCACGGCAGGCATGTGCCCGCTCTGCAGGGAAACAAGAACTGGGAGTGAGGGCGAGAGCGCCGGCCGGGGCCGGAACCATCAGTCCCCAAGACCGGATACAGGCTCTCCAACGAGCCCTGGCCAAGAGTACCAGGGCAGAGTGCCGTGCAGGGCAAACATACAAGAGAAACACGACAAAGATCATCAGGATGAGGCTCACTGTCTCAGGGTGAAAGTCTGCACCTCTATATGCTCTTTCAAAGCTCCCCGAGTGGTGATGACAGCGGGGGCTGAAGACCACTCTGGCTCAGGCCCATTTCTGCCCCTATTGCCTGGGCAGCAGCCCTGAGGAGGTGGCGGAGTTCCTCCTGTGTCCGGCAGGGGGCCTCCGGGGATAAGGGAGATGTCAAGGCACTGTTCCCATAAGGCTTCCCAAACCTGTGGCATCAGCCAGATCCAGGAACTTGAAAGAAAGGCAGATTTTGCCACCCCAGTCCTACAGAACCAGGCCCAGCAATATGCATGTTAACAAGGTCTCCAAGGGACTCTGATACACATGAAAGCTGGTTCCCAGCCAGTGAAAACCAGACACCAAGTGGCAGCAGTCCCGGCGTGGCCTGATTGGGGCCCCCCCATTCTCTGCTTAGGCAGGTCCCAAGCCGCTCCACTCACCTCTCCAGTGACCAAGTACTTGCCATCAGGGGAGAAGGCAAGGGCAGTGATGGTTTTCCTGCAAGAGATGGGGCCAGCTCAGAAGGACACTTGCATTCTGGCTGAGCCAGTGTCCCATTAGTCCCCTCCAAAGTAAGACCCGTGGCATGTGGCAGTTCTGTCTGGCCCAACCAGGTCCAGTCCTGGGAGCCTTTGAGGCCCCAGACAGTGCCTTTCCCACGGCTTCCAGGAGAAAGAGGTGCACCCTGAGGACCCAAACCCACTTACCTGGAGCTGTTGAGGATGTGGTGCTGTTTGTGTTTCCGAGGGTTGAACAGCACAACCACACACCTGGGGAGACAAATGAGGCAACAGACTCACCACCAAGCTGCAGCTCCCCAGGAGCTCCCAGGACACCGGGATTCTGCTCACCTGGCGAGAGCCAGGTCAAGCTAGAAAGGCTCCCCTGGCGACGGAGGGCATCTGCCCTCTCCTAGCTACTTGTCCCTTCTGCTTTCCTTCTCCACCTGCAAGCACCTCTCTGCAGCCCAGCGAGCACCACAGGGCTCCCTGGCAGCCTGTTCCCAGCGGGTCTCTAAACGCCAGCACCATCTCTGGTCATACCCACAAAGTGCAGCAGGGATGGAGGCCTCCCCAAGCTCGCTCACGGTGTAGCCCAGGAGGGGCGTAGGAAGGGCGAATAGGCAAGATTTTGGCGAAGCAGGTGCTTCACAGGTTTATGACATGTGTCAAGCACTCGTGCTCAAGGGAGGATGAGGCCTCTCACATGTGCACCCATGTGTTTTCTCAGCCCTCTGAGAGCCAGGTGAGGAAGAGGGTGGGGGACCGAGGGCCAGAACTGCAAGGAGACTCCTTAAGATGAGGAGGAGAGGCAGGAGAGCCCGAGAGCTTGCCAGAGAGGGCCTGGGGAGCCTGCTCAGTGCCTCGAGCTCCCGAGTGCAGCCCTGAGAAGCCCTGGCCCAAGACCTCCAGACTGCCAGAAGACAGCCAGACTCTGCCAGAGAAGTGGGAGTGGGGAGCACCCTCGCCTGCCAGGAGCGAGGCTAACAGGATCAGAGGCAGTCTGGCTTTCCCAAGGCAGCTCCAGAGGGGAAGCCAGGTGGTAGGAGGCAGCGGCACGAAGCCAGGAGCCACAGCCAGGTGGTGTTCTCCTCAGGCTCCTCAGCTGTGAGCAGGCCCAGGCCCGCTGCCCCTTCTGCCTCCCTGCTTCCTCAGCCTGGAACTAGCTGACAGGAGCAAGGTGGCGGCTAGTACACCAGGTAAAGGTGGGTGTGGAGAGAGTGAGCAGGGAGACACACTGCCCAGACCCAGCCTTGTTTAGTGGGAAGCCCATGCAGCTCCCATATGTGAACCCCACTACTTGCTAGAAGCATGAGGCCAAGGGGGGCCTCTGCAAGGCGCTGGTGGCCGGCCCGCTCTCAGCACTGTGCACCTCCCAGTCTTCCCTCCCCCCTCAACTTGCTGTGCTCTTCTGGCTGGCTGCAGGGCCTTCACGGGAGCCGCAGGCATTTCCCTTGCCTACAGCATTCCTCCCTACTTTTCCCAACGGCTGGTCCCTGGTCGCTTTCAGATCGCGGATCGAACAGCACGACGGCTTCAGTATGTGCTCTCGTACACAGAGCATCATTCTCTTGTTACACGCACCACGGGTGCAATTTTATATTTATTTTTGATTGTCCCCCCCTACTAGACGGTGCATTCCGTGAGTGTGGAAACTGAATCTGGTTTTGCTCACGGCCTTGTTTCCTGTGCCAAGCAGAGTCTGGTCCTATGCAGTTATTCAAGGCCCATTTATTGACAGATGAACCCCAAACCCCTCTCACGGGGCATCAGCAGCCCCAGCATCCCCGCTACGGCAGCTCTTCCACCTGTCTCTGTGGAAGGTGACCCAGTAGGGCCAATGCGGGCTTTGGAGTCAGCGGCCAGTTGGCCAGTTTGAGCCCAGTTGGGCCAATGTCCTGATGTGTGTAGCTTTGTGATCCTCAGGAAGTCACAAGCCTGTTTGCAGGGGGGGGGGGGGGTGGGGGGGTTGGGAGTGGGGAGTTGGGGGGAGTGTTGGGCGGGGAGAGACACAGTAGGAATCAAACAAATAGCAAATAGCAAATCTTCTGACAACTGCTCCCTGGGGCACAGCCAGGAAGCCGAAAGCGGCCAGGCAGTGTGGAACCAGGTGTCAGGGCTGTGGCAGGTTTTTCCTTTGGGAGAATGGAGATGAGTGTTATGAAGAGGTGAGTCCTATTGTTCTGAGGAGGCAACCAAAAAAGGAGAGGTAGGAGAAGCTCGAGGAAAGAAAGTATCTGTGTCTTGGTTCACTTAAGAGACAAGCCTGGAAGGGAGCAAGGAGGGACCGGGGTGGGGGTGGGGGGGTGGCAGCAGGAAATGTTGAGGGAGAAGCTAGCTCAAGAATCCAGGGCAGCAGAGCAGACATTTGGAAAGGTACCAGCAGGGACACCTGCTGTGTCTGTTAGCACCTGCTACCTCTGTTAGAAAGCATGAAGCTGGGAGTTTTCAGTGAATGCTACACATTGCTTCAGTGACTGGTCTACTGTTTTTCCCAGGGTGGAGCCCAAAAATAAATGACCGTGTCTCAAGCCCTTTCTGTGTCGCAGGCACCTCAGGTGTCTGGTTTTGGCTAATTCTTGCACCAACCTTGTGACGCTGGTGCAGAGCAGTGAGGCAATCTGCTCGGGTCACTCAGCTAAAGCAAAACAGAAGCAGCACTCAGGGGAGCTGAGTGGGGTGACTGAAGAGAAACCTGAGCCTGAAGAGACGTGAGGCACAGGAAGCACACTGACCTCTCATGCAAGATGTCAGGCAGGCGCCTCTGAGCAGTGCGAGAGGAGGCTGAGGCATCCTGAGAGATGTGGGCTACAGAATTTGGGGGGATGACACCAGGCTGTATGAGAACTGTAACAGCTACAGGGTTCAAAGTTCATGTGTTTAGATATTGAGCTTTGAAAACTTTATCCAGTCGGTCAACAAGCTGCCCCAGGCCTGCCGACTTTGGGATCCATCCAGCAGTTTCCAGGCTGTCTCTGAACCTCCCTGCTGTCTGTGTCGGCCCGCTGGGGGGACCCTCCGAGGGCTCATCTCTCTAGTATAGGCTTCTAGCTGGAGAGGTGACAGACCCCAGCTTTCTGATCGCCTACGGATAGGCCACGCAAAGACCTTCAAGCTGAGAGGTGATCTGATGTGAGCTGACTTGACATGTATTCCAGATGGCCACATGCCAAATCCAGAGAAAGGAGGTGGTAAGGGCTCTGTGCTAAGTTTCTGAGTTTCCCTCTAAACCCTCATCCTAAAGTGGCATCAGGACCTTTAAAGGGCAGCTGGGGCCCTCCATGGTGGCACAATGGGCTAGGACGCAGCATTGCCAGCTGGTGGCAGCTGCTTCAGTGTGAGTTCGAT